TCTCGGAGGTTTTTTTTTTAATAAAAAACCACCGTTTTTTTCCGAAGACCCTTTAAGCGAAAAAAAACCCCCCAACGGGCCGTACTTTTTCTGTTTTGTGGGGGGGGGGGCCATTTTGCAAAAAAACGCTTTTGCGGAAAAAAAATTTCTTTTTTGATTTTAAAAATAAAAAGCCGCGGGAAAACGACCCCACAACGCGGGGAGGTAACTTTATTTCCCAAAAAGGACAGATCCCACACCAGAATTTTCTTTAATTCGGGCCGGCCCGGCCCGGCCCAGCCCGGCCCGGTGGGCCCGGAATTTCAGTACTAAATTTTTCGGCGAATTTATTGTCTTTTTGCTATTAATGTTTACTTCTCGCGTATTAGGGATAGTTTTCAACTGAATTATATTCATTTAAATCAAAAACAATAATTTTTGACTGAAAAGAGTCGATTTCAGTGACAAAATGGTCCGTCTCGATGCAAAACTGTAAAGTTTAGTCGATTTCGGTGGTTTTTCTTTGAGTTATAAGTTTTCTGAGAGAAAAAGTGTGGTGTTTGATGATTTTAATACATTTTTCAGTCAGAAAAATCATGAATTTTCACTAAAAATTCAAAGTTTTTGGCTCCGAAAAATCAAACTTTTTGAACCCGGGCCCGCCGGGCCGGGCCGGGTCCTGAAAATTTTCTCTTGGCCCGGCCCGGCCCGGCCCGGCCCAGCCCGGCCCAAGTTTGGACATGCATGATTTTTTTTGCTAGGTCTCTTATTTTATATGACCAGATGCTCCTTCGAATTTCCTACAATTCCGTCTAAAATTGAATGCGAAATATTCATTTTGAACTGAATTATTTTCGAAATACTGGAAAATTTTATTCTGAGCAATTCCATCAAAATGATCGTAACTCGGCTAAAATGCGATAGTTTTGAGTTCTGAAAAGTGGAAAAGAATTGGAAAGTCATTTGGTACAGAATCCACATAAATTTGACATGGCGGCCTAGAAAACCAAATTTTGGCAAAGTTAGGCCATCAAGCTATTTTTACTCGAATTTTATATCACCATATGTGCCTTCAAATTTGAAACAATTTGGTCAGAAAACCAAGTCGAAATCTCCATTTCGAACCGAGTTGTTGTCGAAATACTGGAAAATTTTATTCTGAGCAATACCGGAAAATTGAATATAACTCGGGTCAAAATCAATATTTTTGAGCTCTGAAAAGTGGAAAATTCTCGATAAGTCATTCAGAACAGAATACGGTACCTACAGTACCCATACCTCTCCAAAATTCCAGGTCCTCTTCATGCTCTCCTCGATCTACCACCCCCAAAACGAGTACTGTCTGGCAGTCGGTGAAAACTCCGAAGTATTATTCCAGAATCTCCTCAAAGAGCTTGCGAATTGTTTCCCCAATGTGCATTTTATGGTAGGTCCCTCCAGGCTCCACCCCTTAGCCACGCCCCCTTTCCAGAAACGCCCACCAATCAAATGGGGCAGTCACGAGATTATCAATTCGGCGTACGAATGTTTGGAGTTTCTGAGCCAATCGAAATCCAAATGGAAATATTTTCAATACTTGTCAGGAGTCGATGTGCCTTTGAAGACGAATTTGGAGATGGTGCAAATTCTAAAAGAGCTCAATGGCACTGCCAATGTGGAGATTAAGAATTATCAATGGCAGAGGTTGAAAGGGAAGAATGTGAGTGGACATCCGGACATCCGGATATGTGGAAAATGAAAAGAAAAAAAGAAAAAAAGATTGGGCCTCAGTGGGGATCGAACCCCCGTCGAGTGTTTCATAGACAAAAGTGTTACCGGCTGCGCCATTTGCGCCACTGGCAGAGAAAGAGAAGAGGCGCTAGAGGTGGCGGCGCCCTTTCTCTCTTTCTCGCGCCGGTGGGCGGGGAAAAGGGGGAGGGGGGTGAGAATCGGTCCGTAATGAAAGACGCGCATTTTCAAATTTTCCACAAAAAAAAACGGTTTCAGTACACCAGCGCCCCACTCCCACTATTCAAGTCATCATTGTCAGCAGTGATACCAAGAGAAGCGGCTAATGAGTTGGTGGGTCTTTGTTCGAGCAAAAATGAGCATATTGACTTGGAAGTCGATATTTTCTAATGGAAACGGATTTTTGTGTTTGAAATCGGCATTTTTCTTTGAAAATCGAACTTTTTAGGCGTTTCTGAGCGAATTAGATTGGTGGCCTAACTTTCTCAAAATTTGGTTTTCTAGGCCACCATGCCAATTTTAAATAGATTTTTTCCAACTGACTTCTCGATTATTTCCCAGTTTTCAGAACTCAAAAATATTAGTCTTGAGCTGAGTTATGATCACTTTTATGAAATTGCTCAGAATAAAATTTTTCGGTATTTCGACTATAACTCTGCTCAAAATGAAGATATCGATCTGGTTTTTGGACCAAAGTACAACTAATCAAAAAGCGCAGCTGGCAATCATGAAATTTACTCGATGGACTAACTTTTTCAAAATTTGGTTTTCTAGGCCGCCTCCCTAATGCCCCGGAATATTCTGGAGTTCCTCGAAAACACCGGAATCGCCGATGAGGGGTTCTGGGGTACCCTTTTCGGCAACAAGAAGCTCTTCAATATCCCCGGATCTTTGGATTTCAAAGAGTACATTGACTACCGGGACACCCAAAATTTGACATGGCCAACTGACGGATGGAAATATTATATATCCCGGGATCAAACATGGACAAAGACCCAATGTCACAATTATATGACCTCCGGATCGTGTGTCTATGGAATTGGGGATGTACCTCGACTTCTGAAGTCAACTGCTCTGGTGGCGCACAAATTCTATTTGAAGTCGGAGCCCGAGGCGTATTTTTGTATTTTGAAAGTGAGCTTTTAGAAAATTTGAAATATCTCAAGAACTAAGAATTCTATCAAGAAGTTGTCAACTGCAAATTTGATCTACATGAAATTCTACACATATTTGTCTCTTGAACCATCTTTCTAGCTCTTCTAGTTCTCGAGATACCGGGCTTCAAAGTTGGGGTGCTCTTTTCGGCGGTGAGAGTGAGAGAGACGCAGAGAAACGAGATTGTCTAGCTTCTCTGCGTCTCACTCTCCAAGGATAGCAAACTCGCTCCACTGACAACTTGTTTTTTTCCAGGAAATCCGTCGTCGTTCCCTCTCCCCGGATCCCGATTTCAGTGTAAAAAAGTATTCAGAACTACCCACGGTGGAGCTGGCGCGTGGTTTGAAATACTCAGAATTGACGCACAAGAATTGGATGTTATGATTTTTTTTTTAGGTTTTTTAAAGGTTTTGTTTAGCTTTAAAGAAGGATTAGAGGAGGTTTTAGCATTGGAGCGCGTTTGCGTTTTTACCAAATTTCAGATTTTTTCCACAAGAAGTGCGCCTCTCCTCCCTCCCCCCCCTTTTCCCCGCAATATCAACGCCCTCCCTTCCTTCGGCTGTCGTTTGCACCCGCGGCCTAGTGGATAGCGCTCCCGTTTTTGAATCTCGATACCCGGGTTCAAGTCCTCTTGTGGTCAATTCTTTTTTTCTTTTCTCTCAAACCTCCCTAATCCTTCTTTGCATCCTTATCATCATATTCCAACGGGTTCACACGGTCTTTTTGAACTTTTTATCTCTTTTTCTAAATATCATTTCTTTTTTCAGTGTTTCTCAGGGCGATTCTCTCGTTTTTGTTGTTATTTTTGTCATTTCTTTGCGAATAAAAAATGTGGACGTTCTTTCCGGTGGCGTGGTCTTGACACTATCTTTGATACGAGGAGGAGATAAGATTGATTCGTCACGTGTGGAAATTCTTGATGTCACATTAAAAAAAAGATTTTAGATCGCGGCCTAGGAAACCAAATATTGAAAAAGTTAGGTCACCAAGTCATTTTTATTCAAAAGCTCGAGTTGTATATGACCAGAAACACCTTCAAATTTCCTGCAAATCAGTCCAAAAACCAGGTCAAAATGTTCATTTTGAGCGGAGTTATTGCCGAAATACTGGACAATTTTATTCTGAGCAATTTTAAAACCTTCAACATAACTCGGCTGAAAATCGATATTTTTGAAGTGTAGAAAGTGGAAGATGGTTAAGAAGTCATTTGGAACAGAAATCGTACAAAAATGGCACGGTGGCCTAGAAAGCCAAATTTTGAGAAAGTTAGGCCACCAAATCAATTCGAGCGAAATTTATATAAACAGATGCGCCTTTTAATTTCCTGCGAATTGGTCCAAAAATTAGGCCGGAATATAGATTTTTAGCCGAGTTATGGTCGAAATACTGGAAAATTTTATTCTGAGCAATTTCGCGAAATTTAGCAAAAATCGGCTAAAATCGATTTTTTCGAATTCTGAAAAACGGATTTTTTCACAATTGATGGCAATTTTTGTCGTGACATTATCCTAAAAACCTCCCACGTTTCTTTTTCTTTGTTCTCATTTTTTTTCAAAATGTGAGAAATGCTCCAAAACTATCCATTACTCTGTCCATACTCTACTCGAGATGTGGATCTCCGAAATCAAAGGTAACCATACTCACTTTTCTACAAATCGTATAATTTTTCCATTTCCAGGGTTTCTAACCCTCATCTTCCTATGCTCCGTGTGTGCAAATACCAAAAAGATACTGGATCCAGAAGAGGTTTACTCTCCGATCAACGGATCGATCTACGACAGACTCATGAACTCTCCAGCAACCAAATATGAAAAAGACACAGTAATGGGCTCATTAAAATCGATTCTTGCACACATTCCCGATCCTTCAAATTGGACAAGTTTCACTGAAGTGATTCGTGAAGGAAAACTAGTGGAGAATATTGAAAAACTCGGTGGAGAGAAGAGTAAAAACGCAGTGGATTTTCTGCAATATGTTCTGGAAAAATCGAAAGACAAGACTGCTATGACTGGATATTTGGACGCTTGCCTGGAATTCTTAAGCCTGGAGAATGTATCGAAAACGGAGAAAATGTTGATAATGGCGGATTTTTTGACACCTTCTGAATACAGTACTTGGTATAAGGGAAATGAGAAGTTGGCAGATGCTATGGGTGCAAGGAAGGTCTTTGTTTGTGAGTTAGCTATTTTTTCATACTTGTCCGAGCCGAGCTTTTTGAAATTTCCAGGGCCCCGCGCTGAAAAATTTGACTTTTTTCGAAATTTCTTTTTTCAAAATTCTAGTTGTTTCGATCAAAATTCAGGAATTTCTTGTTCATTTTTTGTTTGAAGATAAATTTATAACCAAAAAATGCCCACGGTAAATTTTTTCGTATGTACAATTTTTTTCTCGGTTTCTACGCTCCATCTCACACGGACTTTTACAAATTTCATATTGCGTCTTTAAAATCTGACAGTAAGCCGCGCTTAAGCTGAAGGAGCGCGCACCATGTTTCCAGAGCACTTTTCAGTAATAAATTTCGATTAAATTCTGTCAATATTATATTCAACATGATGCGAAGAAAAATTTCTATTCAATTTGATTTTAAAAAGCTTAGGCCCTGATTTTTATTTTTTCCAAAAAATGAGAAAAATGTCTACGTATCGCTGAGTCGTCACGCAGTTAGCATGCGAATGAAACCTTTTGAAAACACGTACAAAAAAAATTCACCGTGACTGCCTTCTCAACAAAAATTTGTGGAATTCATAAAAAATTCAATTTTGGAAGAAGGCGCGAAAAAAAATTTTTGAATCCAGGCCCATTAAAATTCTGAAATGGTCCGGCCCGCGACAAGCATGATTTTTTTGAAGATCTTTTCCAACTTTTTTTGTTTCAGTCCCCCAAAACCAAATCTATTACCTTGTGAAGTATTGGAATGAGAATCCTATCCTGAATGAATCGATTCTCACTGATAAACTGGAGAAGTTGTCGAAAATAATGCAAGGAAGAGAACTCTTCATGACTAATTTTGTTCAACTTCTACAAAACTTCCAAAACCGTTCGAGATCGCTTTCTTCGAACATTTTGAATGGATTTCAAAGTTGGACTGAAATCGATTCTTTAACTCTTTTCAATGGAGTTGATGAGGTTTTCGACGATCTCGTGGATCCGAGACTTCTTGATTTCAATTTTACTTTGATTGAAACAATCGAACACAATCTTATGGAGCATCCTGACTTTGAAACCAGATTGATGAATCAATTGAAAAACGATCGAGTCAAAAACTATTTCAATCGTATTGATAAGAAGAATCGTGCTGATGCTCTCGTCAACTACACTTCGTTATTCGTTCCAATGGTCAAAAGTTACAAACAAAGCCGATTGGATTTGTTTTCAAAGTTTCTCAAAGAGTACACATCTTTTAAAAACTCTACGAAGATCTCTTTCGGAAACATTTTGACCAAAAATGCGACGAGATATGAATGTTGGGATATGTGGAAAAGTCAATTGGTATCGAGTGATATGGAGAGAATGGTGAAACTTGTGCATGAGTTCTTGGAGGGGTTTGGTATCGTAACTTGTCTCTGGAAGATTAACGACATCCGGGGTGAGTTATTTTCTAGGCTCTAGCCTAGGAAGGTTGTTGAATTTGAGATCGCGGTAGGCCGCGAACGACAGTGGGTACGCTCCCGTTTATAGTTTCGACAGATTTTTTTTTGAGAAGTTTCTATATCTGAAAGGTGGATAGAACTCAGAAATTATTGTATCATTGAAACTCCTTCAATAGAACATGAACTCATAAACATCACTGTTTGAATTTTATTAAATGTCCATGAGTCACACTTCCACCCAGTTTTTATAATGTAAAAGCGCTTATGTAGGCCTTTGAGAAATATTTTAACTTTCGTCCTTGTGGCGCAGGCGGGTAAGCGCTTGTACCCCAATCCGTATAGTACTCAAGTTGGACCCTAC